TCCCAGACACTTGTTACTTAAGTCTCATTTATATCTCAGACACTTGTTACTTAAGTCTTTTTTGCGTCTCAGACACTAGCAACTCGGCCTACTTTCTATCCCAAGTGAACTAAAAAAAAATACCGGTCGCTTGAGGTTGACACCAATAAGAGTGTGGCGGTTATCCGCAGTGGTAAACTACTGAAAGTAAAACTGCTTAAAAAACCCACAAACAGCCGTTAGATAGTGGACTTGGTTTGTGATGTCCTGTTTGCACGTGCCGTCTCCACTTTGAAGGTTAGCTAATTGTACAGCTGTAGGTTAGGTTAGTTGCGCATCCTTTACAGAACGTTGCAGAACCAACCTCAACAGCCCCTGGCTGTTGTGTGGTTTATCTAGGCAAATTTACGTCCAGTAGTTTGCCATTGCTCTCTGGACGGTCGGCTTTCTTGATACCACTGTCAAAACCAACACAAGGCGCATGGCCTGCAGCTGGGATCGAACCCAGGATCCCGGCATTTCGAAACGTTCGCATCGACTCAGCCACAGAGCCGACACAGCTGTAGGTACTTATCTTTTTTATTATCACTATCTCGGGGCCTTCGAGATTAGTTGGAGATTTCCCGGAAAAGTTCAATATTATAGTTGGAAGGGGTTAGACATAGGGTAAGTGTTAGTCGGTGTTTATTTCATTTCACACTCAAACATCCCTATACTACTGGACTTTCCCGGAAATACCTCGAAATCTCGAAGTCTCCAACTAGATATGGTGAACAAAAAGAAAAAGACCTCTTTGTTGTTTTGGTGAATTTTACATGGTGAGGCCCCTTGCTCTTCCACAGTGCGACTCTCATACCAATTTTCTAAACTAGGAGAACAATTTTTTTCCAACGGCCACCGAGGGCAACGAACTCTTGTACTCGAAGACCATTAAACTGTTCTACTTCTTCTGTGTTCACTGCCTGTTAGCTCAGGCGAAAAGTCATGGATGTTCGTCCATTTCGACTTTAGCGTGGTGACAGGACCCGAGTTTTGCGTACACATCCGTTTTACTTGTGTCTTTGTGAGCAGCTGGCAGTTCCTTGCTGCTCGGACAGAGGCTCTCCGACTTCAAAGAAATCGCCCATTTAGTCGACTCCTACGACATGCTTGATGGGGAGGTAGTGGTTCTAATCCTTTTTTTCCCCCCACAATAAGGTCCCGGAACCCACACAGGACTTCGTGATATTGTTAACCCCATTCGCTAACCTCTGAGCCACAAGAACGGCACGACTTCTATTAAAGGACATAAAACTAATTTTAGTTTAGCACGAAGAACCGTAAATTTGTATTTAAAAAACTTATAGACGGAACAGGCAAGATTAAAAACAGAAGCAGCAGAGACATTTTTAAATTAAAAACAGACAGGAAAGAGGCATTTTGATCGCAAGAAACTAGGTACTGGAGGAGACACTAATACAAAAACATCGTGTTTTCAGTGCCCAGCTGCTTAAACAGAAACCGCAGATTATTTGGGAGGTATTAACATAAATAACTTGTTTACCATCCCGGCTGGAGCAAAACATGACGTGCGCTGAGGTGTGGCGTCGGCCCATTCTTGCCAGCTACTGCGTATGTGCCTACATGTTGACCTTAGCTGGCCTAGTTAATTAGCCAGACATCCAGATGGTCAGTAGACTCGGTTGGTTACTGACACGGCTATGCTGTTATGGAAGCGAGAGAGAAAAGGAGAGACCAACAGAGAGAGAGAGAGAGAGAGAGAGAGAGAGAGAGAGAGAGAGAGAGAGAGAGAGAGAGAGAGGTTAGTTGCGTTTCCTTTACAGGACGTTGCAAAACCAACCCCAGCAGCGCCTGGGTGATGTGTGGCTTCTCTAGGCAAATTTAGGTCAAGTAGATTGCCATTGCTTCCTGGACGGTCGGTCCCCTGATACCACTGTTGAAACCAACGCAAGGCGCATGGCCCGCAGCTGGGATTGAACCCGACACCCCGGCACTACAAAGCGTTCGCATCGACTTAGCCACAGAGCTAACGAGAGAGAGAGAGACTGTTTACTTTTTATGCTTAGGTTTAAACAACGGACATCATAGCACAAGGGTAGTAAACCATTAGTGCTTCGTTCTACTTTTAACTGAAGCCTGAGTCCGAAGTGCACGAACACCCCTGAAGATTCTGAAAAATACGTTGGATAGATTTTTTTTAACTTCAAATTTTGTCCGGGAAGAGCCGTTGGGCTACTCTCTTTGATTTCCAACTCCCAGTGAATTCTTTAGGTGCGCAACAATACACGCAGGCGTCCCATCTTACTTCCCAGTGACCGGAGGAAATTACTGGGTCTACATGAAAATATCCCAGCTTTCACCGGGGCATGAACCAAGGACCTGCAGAACTCGAGCTGTTTACTACATAATGGCAGAAGTTTATACATAATGGAAGAAGTTTACTACATAATGGCAGAAGTGCGAGACGAAGAGCTACCATCATCATAGTGGTCTGGTAACGCTGTGTGTCGTTGGGTCGCCAGTTGCTCCCTCCACCTTCGACGCTCAGATGCGATGGACTTCATGAGTGCATGCCTAAAGGTATGCCCAGTGAGTCAAGGTCTTTCCTGATCTGCCTCGTCTCCTCTTCCCCTCTACTGCGTCCTGTAGAATTTTGTATTGTTGTTGTTGTGAGGCTGTTAGGTGTTATTACGTGTCCATACCATTGCATTTCCCTCCATTTCACCTTAGTTGAACAAAATATCTTCATAGTCAACAGTGTGCTAGATAATTATACGCGGAACCTCGTCATCTGTGACTTGGTCTCTACAATATACCCAGCATGTTTCTGAACTATCACATTTTGAGTGCTTTAAATAAACGGCAAAACTCTGTACATACACAAACAAGAACAACTGATACATGGTGCGCCTGAAAATACACACTGGTCTGCTGCAGTATTTCTTTGTGAGGCCTGGGGCCCCTTTGGGTTGGAGGTGGGTGGGTGTAGTCTTTCAAAGTCGAAGTGCATCTGCCAACTTTTTCTTCAAAGTCGAAGTTCATCTGCCAACGTTTTCTTTAAAGTCGAAGTGCATCTGCCAACGTTTTTTTTTTTCAAAGTAGAAGTTCATCTGCCAACGTTTCCTTCAAAGTCGGAGTGCGTCTGCCAAAGTTTCCTTCAAAGTCGAAGTTCATCTGCCAACGTTTCCTTCAAAGTCGAAGTTCATTTGCCAACGTTTCCTTCAAAGTCAAAGTGCATCGGCCAACGTTTCCTTCGAAATCAAAGTGCATCTGCCTGAGAGGCGACACAACCACAGTCTGTATGCCAGTAAGGCACATCTGTAAACTTGATGCGCACACAAAACTCCAGTGCTGGAACAGGCCTTAAGTCCTATAAATAGACGAACAAGCAAAAGATTTCGTCAAAGTTTACCGCTGGTGAACGCAAAGAAGCAGACGTGTCAGCACTGCCACTTATACTTCTTAGGAAGCTAAAAAACAAAATCCTTTGCTGACTTATCCATAAGGGATCATAGACGTCGAGAGGATCAACTTCAATGCATCGGATTTTATCCCATATGGCCCCCTTCTTCCCTCTGCAAAACGGCTAGCCACCTGCCTGGAGAGTTGCACAAAGCATGAACTCCGCAGCTCCGGTAATTATCTCCAGGGATCTTCTTAACCATTGCATTAATGAAAAGAACGACGCAGTGTTGAAACGAACTCAGAACTTTCCGAGCGCGAAGTAAATGGCCCGACCACTTTATTTTTTGTAGCTACACTGTTCCGCATGATTATTTTTTGTAGCTACACTGTTCCGCAGGATTATTTTTTGTAGTTACACTAATAATTCAAATACAAGAAGTAACGGCAACACTTGTTTGCGATAGAAGACTGCAAGAACGTTTTTTTATTTGTGAAATTATTAAGAAATGTGTGATGACTTTGTGTGGTAATCAAGGAATTAATTTAATCTTCTTCAGGTTAAAGATCTCCTCTTTGAGTCTGAGAAATATGCTGTAAAAGACATCCCCACCAACATCCCATGTGTCCTCATTTCAACTTTAAAAAGTGAAGCATAAAGAATGCCAACAACATTTGACATACTGAGCCATAACTGACCCCAAAACGGAGTGAAACAAAACACAATCAACTGGGGACAGGGACAAAGGAAAAAGTTCTACCTCGTGAAGTCATCCCCTTTGTAGTAACGGCTTTACTGACCTGGCTATGTGCTTCTTTGTTTTGCAAACTGGGACAGAACAATTTCTGAAAATATTTGTGACGTACCTACAGTTAAACCGTCGTGTCACATGACTCTGTCAGGGTCGCATATTTCTGTCCAGGGCATAATGAGTTCATCGACCTCTCCAGGGAAAGGGGAAGATAAGGAAGGAAACGGGGAAGGGCAATTCGCTGCCACTCGACTACTTGGTCAGATTCTCTGGTCTGAGGTCACCGCTTACGCCTGTAGCTAGTTGAGTGCGTCTGTTCTTGACCTAGGGGTTAGCTCTCAGCTAAGCTAGATCTTTATAAGATGTTACAATCCGTATACGTTAAAAGGTATTCAATAATATGGAATAAATTGTTTGTCTCCACACTCGAAATGGGGCACGAAGAAGTCGAGCAGGAGCAGCAGGAGGAGACGAGGGGGAAGAAGAAGAAGAAGCAGCAGCAGCAGCAGCAACAGCAGCAGCTCAGCTTCTTCCTTCTTCCTTCTTCCTTCTTCCTTCCTCCTTCCTCCTTCTTCCTTCCTCCTTCTTCCTTCTTCCTTCTTCCTTCTTCCTTCTTCCTTCCTCATTCTTCCTTCTTCCTTCCTCATTCTTCCTTCTTCCTTCCTCATTCTTCCTTCTTCCTTCCTCATTCTTCCTTCTTCCTTCCTCATTCTTCCTTCTTCCTTCCTCCTTCTTCCTTCTTCCTTCCTCCTTCTTCCTTCTTCCTTCCTCCTTCTTCCTTCCTCATTCTTCCTTCTTCCTTCCTCATTCTTCCTTCTTCCTTCCTCATTCTTCCTTCTTCCTTCCTCATTCTTCCTTCTTCCTTCCTCATTCTTCCTTCTTCCTTCCTCCTTCTTCCTTCTTCCTTCCTCCTTCTTTCTTCCTCATTCTTCCTTCTTCCTTCCTCATTCTTCCTTCTTCCTTCCTCATTCTTCCTTCTTCCTTCCTCATTCTTCCTTCTTCCTTCCTCATTCTTCCTTCTTCCTTCCTCATTCTTCCTTCTTCCTTCCTCATTCTTCCTTCTTCCTTCCTCATTCTTCCTTCTTCCTTCCTCATTCTTCCTTCTTCCTTCTTCCTTCTTCCTTCTTCCTTCCTCATTCTTCCTTCTTCCTTCCTCATTCTTCCTTCTTCCTTCTTCCTTCTTCCTTCTTCCTTCTTCCTTCTTCCTTCTTCCTTCTTCCTTCTTCCTTCTTCCTTCTTCCTTCTTCCTTCTTCCTTCTTCCTTCTTCCTTCTTCCTTCTTCTTTCTTCCTTCTTCCTTCCTCCCTCCCTGCCTGCCTGCCTGCCTGCCTCCCTCCCTGCCTGCCTGCCTCCCTCCCTGCCTGCCTGCCTCCCTCCCTCCCTCCCTGCCTCCCTCCCTGCCTGCCTGCCTCCCTCCCTGCCTGCCTGCCTCCCTCCCTGCCTCCCTCCCTGCCTCCCTCCCTGCCTCCCTCCCTGCCTGCCTCCCTCCCTGCCTGCCTCCCTCCCTGCCTGCCTCCCTCCCTGCCTGCCTCCCTCCCTGCCTGCCTCCCTCCCTGCCTGCCTCCCTCCCTGCCTGCCTCCCTCCCTCCCTGCCTGCCTCCCTCCCTGCCTGCCTCCCTCCCTGCCTGCCTCCCTCCCTGCCTGCCTCCCTCCCTGCCTGCCTCCCTCCCTGCCTGCCTGCCTCCCTGCCTGCCTGCCTGCCTCCCTCCCTGCCTGCCTCCCTGCCTCCCTGCCTCCCTGCCTCCCTGCCTCCCTGCCTCCCTGCCTGCCTGCCTGCCTGCCTCCCTGCCTCCCTGCCTCCCTGCCTGCCTGCCTGCCTGCCTCCCTGCCTGCCTGCCTGCCTGCCTCCCTGCCTGCCTGCCTGCCTGCCTCCCTGCCTGCCTGCCTGCCTGCCTGCCTGCCTCCCTGCCTGCTGCCTGCCTGCCTGCCTCCCTGCCTGCCTGCCTGCCTGCCTCCCTGCCTGCCTGCCTGCCTCCCTCCCTGCCTGCCTGCCTGCCTCCCTGCCTGCCTGCCTGCCTTTCTCCTCCCTGCCTGCCTGCCTTTCTCCTCCCTGCCTGCCTGCCTTTCTCCTCCCTGCCTGCCTGCCTGTCTCCCTGCCTGCCTGCCTGCCTGTCTCCCTGCCTGCCTGCCTGCCTGTCTCCCTGCCTGCCTGCCTGCCTGTCTCCCTGCCTGCCTGCCTGCCTGTCTGCCTGCCTGCCTGCCTGCCTGTCTGCCTGCCTGCCTGCCTGCCTGTCTGCCTGCCTGCCTGCCTTTCTCCCTGCCTGCCTGCCTACCTTTCTCCCTGCCTGCCTGCCTACCTTCCTCCCTGCCTGCCTGCCTACCTTCCTCCCTGCCTGCCTGCCTACCTTCCTCCCTGCCTGCCTGCCTGCCTTTCTCCCTGCCTGCCTGCCTTTCTCCCTGCCTGCCTGCCTTTCTCCCTGCCTGCCTGCCTTTCTCCCTGCCTGCCTGCCTTTCTCCCTGCCTGCCTGCCTTTCTCCCTGCCTGCCTGCCTTTCTCCCTGCCTGCCTGCCTTTCTCCCTGCCTGCCTGCCTTTCTCCCTGCCTGCCTGCCTTCCTCCCTGCCTGCCTGCCTTCCTCCCTGCCTGCCTCCCTCCCTGCCTGCCTGCCTCCCTCCCTGCCTGCCTGCCTGCCTGCCTCCCTGCCTGCCTTCCTCCTCCCTGCCTGCCTTCCTCCTCCCTGCCTGCCTTCCTCCTATATATATATATATATATATATATATATATATATATATACACACACACACACATGGGGAGAAAGTGTTCGTGTAGCGGTAGTAGGAGTGTCTCAGAGGATTATGTCTTGTTTAATTGCATAATTATCGAATTGTAGGTATGATTCTCTCCTCTCCACCCCACCACATACCTCAAAGTGTCAGGTGTCAATAAGTGTGTGTGTGTGTTTAAACAGATTTTTTCATTTTGTTACTCCCTCCGTGTTAAGCTTTAGCTGTTTTTAAAAGGAGTAGAAAATTATAGGGAAGAGAAAAAGTTGGTAAGAACCAACAAACAGTTTATGTTAGCTTTACAGAATCGATCACAATAAACAAACAAAGGACGTTGCAGCGATTAGCCTTAATCAGCACATAAAGGACAACACAGTACACATACACAAATATGCTCTATGAAGTGACTACATAGGACTCTAGTGTACAAAATAAATGATACTCATGTAGCTGGGCCCGAGTTCGTTACTAGTTTCATACTGCGCAATACTATAAGGGGGAAAATGCGAAATTTAAAAAAATAAGTTGAAAAGTTTGCTATTAAAGATATAATTAAATATTATAATGTTAAAAACAAAACAGAACAGATATTTTAAACATTGCAAATGATCTTTTCCGAACCGGCAGCGCAGAGGGCATTTGCGCAGGACACATCATTTGAAATATTAGCGGGTCCTCGTTCGGTTGAATGATCAACATTTCGTTAGTTGTCTTTTGTTCTCAAGATATTTCTAGATTCGCCTTTGTGTGTGTGCGTGCGTGTGGGTGTTTGTGGGTGAGTGTGCGTGTTAGTGTGTGTGTGTGTGTGTGTGCCTGTGTGTCTGATCTGGTAGTCTGGTGGTCTTAGTTTCAGCTTCATAGCAAACGGGTCACCCCATCTTTGCTCTGCTCCTGTGCCAACGAAAAACACACAGAATGTTTATCACAGTATTAAAATTGCAGTTCATTATTGATGGTAGCATAAGTCGCCAACAGATCAGCAGTTGCCCACGCGCTCAATTTTAATCACATACGGGCACCACAACACTGCACGACAGGCATCGCGCCATTTTCTGAATCTACAATTCACCCCAACACGTTGGTCACAGTCGAAAAAACATTCCAAATGCAATCCGCAGCTCTCAGGGTCACGCCATGCATTCAAGTCAGAAGCTGGGCGACGAAACTATATCCAGTCTACAAATGGAGCAAAAATGCATCGGCCACCGTCCGGCAGAAGCAAAATATTTGCATCTGTTTCGAACAGTGCCGCTGCCTAACGTCCATTTTGACCGGTGTGTGTGTGCGCGCGCGCGTGTGTGTGCGTGTGAGTGTGTCTGAGTGTAAATTAAAAAAACTGAGTCCACACTGATGTGAGAGCGATGCTGGAAAAACATTTCAAACTGAGAAACCCATCTATCTCATCCCCCCTCTCCCCATTTCAGAAACAAATCTCATCCCCCACACTTCGGAAACTCATCTCATCCCCCACAATTCAGAAACCCATCTCATCCCCCACAATTCAAAAACCCATCTCATCATTCACAATTCAAAAACCCATTTCATCCCCCACAATTCAAAAACCCATCTCATCCCCCACAATTCAAAAACCCATCTCATCCCCCACAATTCAAAAACCCATCTCATCCCCCACAATTCAGAAACCCATCTCATCCCCCACAATTCAAAAACCCATCTCATCCCCCACAATTCCGAAACCCATCTCATCCCCCACAATTCAGAAACCCATCTCATTCTCCACCATTCAGAAATCCATCTCATTCTCCACCATTCAGAACCCATCTCATTCTCCACCATTCAGAAACCCATCTCATTCTCCACCATTCTCCCAATTCAGAAAAAACACATCTTGTCCCCCACAATTCAGAAATCCACTGTCATCGCTCATAGTTCTGATATAGGCATCTATTCCCTCTCGTTCTCTCACAATTCAGAAACACATCTCATTCTCCACCATTCAGAAGAAACCCATCTCATTCTCCACCATTCAGAAATCCATCTCATTCTCCACCATTCAGAAATCCATCTCATTCTCCACCATTCAGAAATCCATCTCATTCTCCACCATTCAGAACCCATCTCATTCTCCACCATTCAGAACCCATCTCATTCTCCACCATTCAGAAACCCATCTCATTCTCCAACATTCAAAAATCCATCTCATTCTCCACCATTCAGAACCCATCTCATTCTCCACCATTCAGAAACCCATCACAATGCAGAAACGAATCTAACCCCCCTCCCCCCAAACCAACATTCCCCACCCCCTCGACCCTCTTCCCCCAACCACAATTCAAAAACAAATGGTGTCGAGTTTCTCTCGTCCTTCACATCTAACTAATTCCTCCCAATTTTTAAACCCATACAGCTTCCATAACAATAACAGAGTGGTCACTTTAACCTAATACGTGACATCCTGGGCAAGCGCGACCTTGGCAGCTACTTAGTTATACACAAGGCCTCGTCACAGGATTGTTTTTTCGCGACTTCAACTCCGGGTTTATGTAAGTACACAAAAGCGTAATGTGGTAAATAATTACTTTCTGAACCGACCACAAACAGCGCCTGGGATTTCGAGGAAGACTAGATCTACAATACCACTTTTCAGAGCGATGTAAGGCGACTGCTCGGAATACACTGAAGGAGTATTGAAGATGTCTTGAAAGAAATCTGACTCACGAAAAGAACTGAGTGCCCACATCGGAAGGAAGCTGTACCCCCGTGTGGGTTCCGGGGCCCCATTGTGGGGAAAATAAGAATAGACCCGCTGCCTCACAAAAAAGCATGTCGTAAGAGTCGACTAATTGGGGAGCATCCTTTGAAGTCGGAGTGCATCTGCCTGAGAGGTAAGAAACCAACAGTCTGTATTAAAGAGAATGCGATCTGTAAAACTGATGCACAGGCAACAATCAGGTTCTGGAGCAGGACTGCAGATTAGTAGTGAACGAGCAACCAGAACTTTCCGCCAGAGTGTACAGCTGGTGAACGCGAAGAAGAAGAAGAAGGAAGCAATCTACATTCTTTGGTCATGTGATGAAAAGGCTAAAATTGGAGTATATCATGACGGTGGGAAAGTTGGAGAGGTAAAGAGACATAGGGAGATCGAGAGAGACCTGGACTGTTTGAAAACATGGCATGGAAGATATCTGTGTCCGAATTAAGTGAAACTACACGAGACAGAATGTTAAGGATAGACAGACATAACTGCTCGTACCAACGATCTTGAGTCTGGTGGCATAGCTGATGCAGTCCTCAGTGGACTGTGTAGTTTAGGATTTCTTTAAGTAGGGATCCCGACAGGCAATCTTCTATCATCTTAGAGAGGATTCGAACCTGAATGAGAGCCCAGCTTTTGTAGCCATCGGTGAGCAGTCCCTCTTCAGTGAAGACAGAATATGGTTTGATGGGCAAGCGAAGCTTTGAGCGAGATCGAGATACATCGCAGGAAATCAAGAGGGGAGAAAGCTGGCGTTGGATAGAACATATTTTAAAGGGGGGAAAAACACTTATCATAATATTACTAGAATATCTTTGTACTGGAATCAACAGGGTCGTAGAAATAAAGGAAAACCAAAAACGCGGAGAAGAAAATAACGTTTCTGTACATTTTCCAGGTCTGTCCACAAGCACAGTGAAGATCACAATCTGTTCTTGAATTTAAAGAAAACGAAAATAATGCCCACAGATAAAACTGGCTGTCACCCAAAAATAATAAACGGTGAAG